GACAGCCCGATGGAACATGATGACGCGTGGCGGAGATGCAATTGCCGTCTCCGCGGACTTATGTGATCTATATGTTTCAAATGATGGCATTTTTTAATCCCGCCAAACAATCTTTACTACGGCGGTTTTAAAAGAACTACCATACACCTCCTTATCAGATGCCGTTTGCAAAACATGGATTAGAATAAGGCTAGCTGCTACCGAACACAGGCGATGTCACAAATATCAGGCTTGTGTTTTATGCATTGGGGTATAACGTTGACTGTATGGGCTATCCACGTTAAATCTGCATAAACTAAAAAGTCATTTTTCATTTCGTATCGCGTCGATGGTTCTATACAACGGCACATGGTCCGGATCCACAAGGGTTTCTACCTACATTCAGATCGACCTTTATTTGTAGCAAAGTATAAGCATTGTTCGTAAAACGCTGGTAAAGGCACTGTCCAGCAAGTACATCCTATGGTCAGACAAATCCATCGAAAATGTACTTGACGACGGCTTGACAAAAAATGGAAGGCTGCTGCCGACGAAGAATTATATTTATTATAGCATGTGTGCTAACACTTTACTGTTCTGAATAAAAACAAGAGTTAATGTCATTATGTTGGCCTCACTGGACGAGGTATACAGTGGCCATGTTTGTAAGGATGACTGCCACCCAGCCCGGCAACCAGGTTGACGCAGAGTTTACACCGAAGGTGATTTCTTTTTTATGACCGTCCACACTTTCTAGTGATATAATCAGCGGATTCGGTGTCGTGGCTAAAGTCAAGCTGAGCTGATAGTTACCTACAAGGTAAAAGTAGTTATACGGGAAATGTCTTGTTGCGGATTGCATGTGCTTAACAAATGATAGTCTGAGCAATCATACATGAACGCATAAGTCCATCTTACCCTTCACCATGTTAATGCAACCTATGGCTGGTTTCTTGCCCGGACATCCATCGCTTACAAGTAATTCTTCAGTCGCGGTGCCGCCGGGAGGAGTTGTTTTTGTAAGGACCATTTTCTAAATGGAAGCAACAGATAAGTTTATATGGTAGTGATGTTAGAATGAACGCGGATTTTTTGCGAGAAAAAGTCGGGCAAAACTTAGAAACTGTGCAAATGGTTGTTAGATTTCAAATGTAAAGCTAGAGAAAAAATGTTTCTCTTACAGTGGGTACGTATTTCAAAGTGTAGTACGAATTGTCGATTCTGTTCGATGGCGGTGGTGGTGGTTGGTTTTCCGGTGGTTCTGGCTCCAACTTAGAAATCTTGACGGAAGTCTGAGGTAGGACTGTATTTCCAACAAACTGCGCTGTTGTGTATAGGGTCTTGTCCGCGATAATGATATGCGCTGCATGTTCCACTAAAAAGCAAACATAACATGTCGGTGATGGTCCTACACTAAAAGGCATTGAAGAGATGCGAAAGCGCTAAATTAAGCTCCATATTTGGAACTTGTGTTCTCGTAGACACCGGTCGTAGGGAACTTACCTTCTTGTTCATAACACTGCTCTTTAACGATGTTAGAACAACGAGGGATATCTATTCTACCAACTGTAACCCTCTGTGGAGAAATTTGTATAAGGAATAAGGATTTGCCTACCCTAACTTCAAATCCAGGATCAAATGAAAGCTCGAATGGTTTGTTTGGCTTCCCACCAGACTGGTATGTAATAATGCTGGCCTGGGTGAACCCTATATGGAAAAATTAAATGTTTAATAAAACCGAACAATAGTCATTTCACAGATCACACAGGATTGCAAACATCCTCAATCAGAGCTTACCTAGCAGCAATAGCACAAGGACAATCGTTGGAGTCATCATGTTTCGCTGTACTAAAATAAATAGTGTAAGGTAAATTAAACCTTACATTATTTTGCGTATGCTTCCGGGTACAAAATGCCCTCTGCATTTGTACAAAAAAATATTTTGCATGAAATCTCAGCTTTAATTCTGGAATGCGTTTTTACTTCCAACACTTTAAATAAGTATGGTCATAAAAGCTATTACCATACGTCCTAATTTCAATATATTTCAATCAGCTCCACATGCAGACCAAACATCCATTTTAACCGACAAAATGGCTTCTGAAGTAGCATGCCTTTAGTAGTTGATTATCACCACCCTTGTAAATTTAAATACATATTGAGGAAATACGTACACATATATTTTTTTTCTTTTAGTTAGTTGATAACAAATAACACCTCCTACGAATTTCATACGTAAAAAGGATATATTTCAATTCCAAAATATGTCCAAATTGCCGAATAATTTTACCCTACAGGTCGACACACTTTAATTGATGATCTTCAAAACATGTGGTACATATATTCTGTCTGAAAATAAGTTAATATTTGCCTTAAGTGGGAGGAAGAATTCATAAAGTTCTCACAACCACTAATATCACTGTGGACTAAGTGGTATAATGTATGAGCAGAATTAAAAAATATGAAAATACGTTGCTATATGAATGCACGTTTCACGGTCTTAAAATGATGCATAAGTAAATTTTCTTAAATCTAAGCGAACGTTTACTTCAAGCATTTTAATGAAGATGTAATTTTGTATAAGATGAGTACAAGAAAAATAATTTGTGCCTCTTTTCTAAGAATTATATTCGAATATATTTGGACAGTGGAAATCAATGAGGAAAACGTCTAGTGGACGTTTCAGCCTAGTTATTAATCTGATTGCAGGAACTGGTAGATGCAAAGGTGCATTTTATAAACAACACATAATTTCGCAAATATTTAAGGGTGCAGAAAGGCAGGACCTATAGACAATTGCAATGATTACATTCATTTTGACCAATTGCAACAAACATACTTTTAGCGAAAGCTCACCTTGATGCGGGATGTCCGGTACACAACGAGTAAAAACTCAGTACGAGAGACGGTCTCGTGTAGCCAGAAGTTGCTTGGCTTGTTGGCAAGTGAGTTAAGACGGGGGCCACAGCCGGCTTATATATCAGATTGTTCTTTCAGTGGGCGTCAAGAAATCGCATCACTGAATCATCTTCTCATGGTGGCACCACCCCTAGCCAATTAGTCGTGTCATAGGTCCGACCTGCCACGTGTGAGCCGCAGCAATAACGCATCGTAGGCGATGGTGGGACGCTTTAGGTCACAAATTTAGCTAAGCCTTCCCTCTTGAATGTTATAATTCTTAAATCTCAGGCCTCTGATTTCCTAAGATATGCGTTAGTACGTAAGACTTAATAGACTTCCAAGTACTCACAATTACAAGTGGAAAATTATGATGATGAAGGGGAACATTCCGAAAAGAGGAAGCCTATGCTTTATTTAATTTCAGCACCACCGATAATGTAACCTAGCATTATATAAATGCATGATGTACCGCTTTTGGTTATCTTTCATCAAGAGTGATACATTTCACGTTATTCTGTAAAATATTTTGCTTCTTTTAAGGCTGCACATTTCTCATTAGTAAACTTCGATGCAAGAATGCATGCAGCTAAACAGTTCTTTCCAAGGTCCCTGTAGAAGAACTTGACTGATTATTACATGATATGTGGCAATGAATTTGACCGAATAATCAAAATATTGCCGTCCGCGATAGGACTTGAACACATAACAACATCAGCAGGGCTTGAGCAGAGGCAATGCCATAGTCGCAATAAGTGCTGCTAGTCGGAGCCCTACGCACAATTTTGGTCAACATATTTCAGTGGTAGGTAACGAAAACGCTTCGCTGTGTACCTCCCATTGAAGGGTTAAATGCACTCTAATTTACAATTGTCAAAACAAAGTTTTGTAGAATGTACAAAAATGCACTCAGAAGACAGTAAGGGCAAACCATACGGAAAACCAAGAAGGGAAACTGCAAGCGACATTCGATAAGAAGCTCAGTCGAGGTAGAAAATAGCCATGGTCTATGCCATCAGTCATTTTTTCCTTTCTGAAAACTGAAAGATTTGTCAAAAGTTTCAGAAAGGGTGCTTTTTCAAATGAAAATGTGACAAGCCGACTTTAAAATAATAACTGCAGCAAGGGTATAATATTGCATTTGTTTCTTAGGCAATCATGCCTTCGCAGTAAGGTAACTATATCCGTTAAACAAGCTCACATGCAAGTCCCAGGAAAAGGTTGAACAGTAAAAGACGACTCGATCGCTGGGACAATAGGTTTATTCGCCTGACGTTTCAGAATCCATCCTGGATTAATCATCGGAGCCATACTCACAGGACAGGATGTCCTTGTACATAGAAAGGCTAATGGGACA